AAACTGTAAGAGTTGAATTTAGCCACTTCAGAGTGATTCCTTCTCTTCTCCTCCCTCCCCCCAACCAAATCCGTCTCTCTCTCTTCCTCTTTCTGACTCCGTCTCGCTTTCTTCTCCTCCTCTCTTTGGGGCTCTGGGGCTTTGATCAGACTCTGAAGCTATAAACATTACCAGCTGGCCTTTCGCTCCACATGAGGAGGTCAGCCGAGTCGGAGGTGGAGGACAGAGGGTGGGGGAGCGGTAACTCTACTCTCTGTGAGCGGCGGCATCCGAAGCAGACATCTGGGAGAACTTCTCTATTTCAGAGACACTCTCTGATTCAGCTAAAAACAAACCGTCCCCCAAACACACACTCACTATGAAACACGCTAGAGCAGACAATAAGGCGGCGTTCTGCTTTTTCCCAGCCAGTTGTAACACTTCTGCCATCTGTTTTCTTCAGGAAAACAGTAAAAACAAAGCTACAAGTTAGCATGCTAGCTAGCAATGTAGCTTCGTAATAACTGTCGCGTCTAAAACAAAGTCGAAGTTTTGAAGCTCATCAGTTTTGAGATAAACAGATTGTCTTAAGTTCACCTTTGGCATATGCAGTTTTAGGCTGCTGGGGGAGACAAAAGGGCAAAGGTCACATCGGCTGAGCTGCCTCTGATAAATCCTGCCTGCATACGTTTAATGTTTCTCACCAAAACTCGCACCACTTTTAGGCCCAAAAATGCTGAATCCACTTCCTTCCTCATGCACAGTCTCAAAGCTGATTTTTTTCCTCTTTAAAGAGAAAAAAGCAAAAAAGAAGTGCTGGCCTGCATTCTTCTTCTTCTGCGCGATTAACGGTGCAGTGCCAATTTTTTATTGTAGCTAGCATTAGGAGGAAACTTCTAACAAACCAGAACATCAGCCTGGCCCTGAGAGAAAAAGCTGCGAATCTTTGCATTTATTAATAAAATAATGTAAGAGAAACATCCTTTACTGTCCTTCAGTGGGGAAGTTCAGGTGTACCAGCAGCAAACAGGCATAAGTATATAAAAAGAGAAGTAAAATGATCAAACTGTCCAGTAAGAGCAACTTTACAGTGTCGGAAAATACTGCGCAGTTGTTAAAAATAGCAAAGTTCAACGGATCAAAATGTTCAACTGAGTAGAATAACTTAAAAACATACTTATATTGGAGCATAAGACAATAAGCTGTTAAGAAGAAGTGAAAAGAAATGTGCAAACAGGAATGTGCAAAAAAAGCAGGAATGTTATTTGAAATTAAATGAACTACAGGAGGGATCTATAATAACGCTCCCTTGTCCACCAAGGATGCAGAAGTTTAAGAATGCAAAGAAGGATAAAAATCTGTATTTTTTCACTTTTAAAAGTGGGTGTCGTGTCTCACACAGTTTCTGTGCTTAGAAGTGTAACGGTACACATAAAATCAATCCAAAATCTAAACGCAAGGTTTCATTTCATATATTTTAAATAGAAAACCACACTGTAGAAGGAAGCTCAAAGGCCGCAGACTCTGTACAGCAACTTCGGATTTTACAAAAAAAAAAAAAAAAAATTGTAATCCAGTTTGAAATAAACAGTATCCTATCACGATCTGAAGAACTTTATTTTAAACTATTTTGCAGTTAAACATCTGAAAATGTGGCAGCCATTTACACTTATTCTGAGTCAATACTATGTTGCAATAACAGCTGCATGTTGTTTGTGGTATGGCTCCACCAGCTTTGCATATAAACAGATTGAAACTTGATAATTTCCATTTGCATGATTATTTCTCTTTCTACCAAAACCGGGTGACAAAGTCTTCAGTCTTGAGCGTCTAAACTCTTTTTTAAAGGGAATTTTTGTTTACAGAACCTTCAGATCCATTTTATTTGCTGCTTGATTGCTTTGTTTATTTAAAATGTCTTGCAGTCCCATGTTAAATGTTTGTTACAGATTAAAGTTGATTTATTTTCAACTCCTGCCACTGATTCTCAATCAGATTTGGGTTTATGACTTTGACTAGACCATTCTAACACTTGAATAAGCTACTTTTTGATGCTCTGACTGTTGGTCAAGGTCACAGTCCTGCTGAAAGGTCAACTTCATCCCCAGTCATTCATCTTCTGAGAGCCACGCTGCTGGACAGGATAATCAGCATGATGCTGCCCCCACCATGTTTCACTGTATGAATAGTGTGCTCAAGCTAACAATGTCAACCAAAAAGTTCAGTTTGGGTGTCATCTGACTCAAGCAGGTTTGTTGACTAGACCTCATTTGTGAAAACCTTCCATTGGAACATCTACACTGCAATAACACAAAATATTACCAAGTCTTAGTCTAGTTTCTAGTCCAAATATCTTAATACACATTAAATTGTATAAAACTAACTTCTCAGCAAGATACAGCAGCTTGTTTTAAGTAATAAATCCTTAATTTTGATTAAAAATTTCTAGTTCAACTAATTATTTCACTCATGGGAAAAATGTCTTATTATAAGTAAAATAATCTGCCGATGAAACTAATACCTTTTCATCAATATTGAGAAATTATTCACTTGCTGAAAAGTGACTTATAAGTTAGTTTTGTCTTATTTCAAGTGTACTAGTGTGTTTCTAGTCCAAATATATATTTGGACTAGAATCTAGATCAAAAGTACTTGGTAAGATTTTGTGTTTTTGCAGCGTAATAAGTCAAATTCTCAATAATCCTTTTTTTATCATAAAGAAAAGTCAACGAATATCGCAAACGTCTCGCAGCGAATAAACCAGCGCTTGTCTTCTTCAGTCTGTGTGTGGACTGGCTGTGCTGCTGAGGGCGAAACATTATTGTGCGTGTGGATGTGTGTATGCGTGTGTGTGTGTACCAGATTTTTATATCCTTATGGGAACCTATTCCTACAATGTGGGTTATGGGGACCATTGCTCCTTGTGGGGACATTTTCTTGGTCCCCATGAGGGAAATTGTTGTTTTTGGGTTAGTGGTTAGGTCTGTGATGGTTAAGGTCAGAGTAAAGGTTAAGGTAAGGATTAGGATTATGGTAAGGGTTAGGCTGTAGAAATGAATGGAAGTCAATGTGAAGTCCCCACAAGTGATGAAAACACAACTGTGTGTGTGTTTGTTTGTGCATGGGTGTGTGTATAGCAGTTTTCAGTACAGTCTGAACTCCTGAACACCCACTGAATGACACATTGTGGAGAGAAAGCCCAAGCATTAGGCAGCAAAATCTGTGACATCACTACCGGACATAGGAGCCCTGTTCTCTGCATAATAGAACTATTGAAGCCCCTCGCTGCCATCGCTGTCCATGACACACCAGAGTCTGGCAGCAAACCCATGTGTGAAAACCATCACCTGTTGCAGCTTAGTGTCTGGGAGCCCTGTGGGCGTTTTGGAGGCCCTCTTGGATAACTTTTGGCCCGTGGAAGAGCACATGGGAAAAGTGCTAGACAGACGGAAAACGCAGCGCTGAGAAAAATCATTTACCCCCTTTTATATAGCTCTGGGAAAAAATTAAGAGACAAATCGAGCGATCCACAAATGAATACGACTTTCTAGACAAACAAACTGGAGTTGGATTTAAGTGGACTAAACACAGCTCCTGTGAATGCTCCCTTAGATCAGAGTTTTTCATTGCTGTCTGAACGGCCTAATACTGATCTTTTCACCCCCCAAAAGTCCAATTTGTCCCACTGGAAACAAGCAATAAGCATCACATTTTATTAAATGCCATCATCAAAACCATCAAGCAAATACACATCAAATAAGCCGATCAATATTCCAGAAATTATGACTCGCAAGGTGGGTTTTGGTCTTGATTAAAGGAACTCTGTGTTTCAGCATCTTTGCAGTTTTATGGAAGTTTGCTCCAGATTTGTGGGGCATAGAAGCTGAATGCTTCTTCTGGACCAGAACCAGAAGACCCAAGAGGACTGGAAGGTTGATAAGGTGCAAAGAAAGGAGAAAAGTGACATAAACCCTTGCAAATTTTTCATTTAACCACATAAGCCTTTTTGTAGAATCTTAGCAATGAATTAAAAACACAAATAAACAATAATTTTTAAAATACAAAAATAAACTTTTCTTGCTTAATATTCAGTAACAGCATTTCTTTAGTGAACACTTGATCCTTTATAGCAAAGGACGCATCTACAAGTAAAACCAACCAACCACATGTGAAAATCTTGACTTAACATTAATACAGTGAAGGACTGATCAGTTGATTATTATTTAGATGAACTGATTAATACTGGGTAACAAAAGGAGCATTTTTTACAGTATTTGAACCATATGAAACTAAAACTGCAACCGGAAAGAAGGATTTTCAGTTTAAATTAAAAATGTATGTGTTTTGTTGTACAGTTACTGCTCTAATTTGAGTTTTTTAGTCTGTATACTGTAGTTAGTGATTAAGCAATTGCTAAATTAGTTGACGATTATTTCAGTAATTGATTAAACACGATTAATCCAATTAATCAGAGTATCTTTAATGAGCCGAATTATGTAAAAACATGCCTACAACAGGCCTTTCACAATAATAAATAAATTGTTGGCCGATCTCTTGTTCCAGGAGTTATTGCAATAAATTATAATATTGTTATTTTGAGATGGTAATGGCATAATAAGGCAAGGACACATTTTGAAAGATCAATAAACTTTAAAATTCTGATTAACATTAAACACAGGAACTGGAAAACATTTTAAATATTCAAGATAAATAAACAAAACAACAGGAACAACAAATAAAGTGAATTATTTATTTTCTGTAAACAAAACCGTCCTTCAAAACACGGGGAAGTTGAGACCAAAGCACCAGACTGAAGACTTTTATCATCCAGCTTTTAGTAGAAAGAGAGAAACAACAACTCATGCAAATGGACTGAGTTTGTTTTAATTTTTCATGTGATTAACTCATTTATTGCTAATTTTGACAGGCGTAGGCCACAAAACAAACAAAAAAATTTGCAAAAACTGAAGGGAATAAACACTTTTTTCCACAGCGCTTCATGAGTGAAACTGAAAACATACCTGACCAGCTGTGTCATACAGTCCCAACAAGTACTGCTTCCCTCCAACGTTGACGCTCACTGCAAGACAAATGACAAGAGCGGTTGAAAGGTGAGGGTGGTGTCAGGGCTGATGGTCTCAGGGACTTCCAGCCCCCTCTGAGGCAACGGGAAGCCGAACAAGTGGTTCTGATTACAGCAACAGATGCAATGCAGTTGCAGAAAGAGTGGCAGAGAAGTCAGGGGGGATTCAATCACGCCTCTCTCCCCCGCTTATTGCATTTCAGGCTGGGAAATTAATCCCAAACAAAGAGAAAGGAGCAGTTCAGTAAGTCGTGATGTCATGGTTAGGAGAAAGAAATGTGACCCCACCTGCATAATGATCAAACACCGTGGGCACATACTCCTCTGGAAAGGCGTCGTTGGCATAGCTCATCAGGAGACACGTTTTACCCACTGCGCCGTCTCCAACCACGACGCATTTCAGCATGATAGAACCGGTTCCGTTAGCCATGATCCCGGCCGAACCACCATCATCTCCCCGACGCCCTGTTGTTCCGACCTGCTGCCGCTGCAGCTGGGTGGGGATCCCCGCACCGCGGCGGGCATCACCAGCCTCTGAGGCGGACTGCGCGGTGCACCGTGTCGGGCTGGAGCAGCATCCCTCCTGCCCGCCACTGGCTACGGATCCAACCCGGAGTTTGTTCCGATGTTTCCACCGGATCGCTCGGAGATGTGCGGGGGTGTTTTCCCCTTGAAGGCGAGGAGGGATGGTGTTTTATGATCCGGCGGGTCCGCTCCCGTCCGCGGCGTGTCCTGCTGCCTGACGCTCCCCGGCGCACTGAGCCGCCGCTGCCGCCGCCGCTGCTGCTGGACAAGCTGGGTGGAGAGGCGGAGCCTGTTCTCTAAAACCTAGAAACCAGCCTGCAGTCCGCCTGCTGGGGGATCCTGGGTCCAGGACTATGAGAAATTACATCATTAGCAACACATTGGAGGAAAATAAGGAGGAAAAGCAGGGCCGTTTCTGGATTTGTCGGGGCTCTAGGAAGATGCTGTTTGGGCACCCCTAGTTTAACAAACTACAACAAAGGGACTCTCAAAAGGGGCAGAATGTAACTTTTACATAGATATAAAAACAAACAAATAAAAAAACAGATTTCTGCAGAAAAAAAAAGTCAGAATTGAACATCAAAACCTGCTGCGTGAACTTAGCCTAACTCATCGTATCAAGAATATGAATGTATAAATTAACGCAACAAAATCTGTTGAGCTTGCATGAATGTTTAGAGTCTGGAGCCTTGAGGGCCGTCTAAAAGTTTGTGAAATGAGAATGTAAAAAACTCATTTGGAATTGAACTTTAGTAACCTCCACTTCTCCATTTTTTTTAATGACTTTGTGTTTTTGATGAGTAGATGAGTCATCCTCATTGCGTTGGTCTTTGTTTCTGTGTGATGTGATGTGTGGGATGGGAGCAGAGAGCTGCAGATGAAGAAGCCACAGGAGGAGGTGTGAGATCCTGAGACAAGGAGAAAGAGATCTGACCTCTGCAGCACAGTGTGGGCTGTCATATTAGCCCTCATTACTGCCTCAATAAAGCACGTATGCTTACAGAGTAAAAAAAAAGGAAACAGTTTGCATGTGTAGATATGCGCCCAATTTAAGGCGAACGAAACCATAACCACAAAATAATCAGCGAAGTCACAGGAAGCTTCATCTCGTCGCTGGTATCTGAGTGTTAGTCCGATAATGTGTTAAAATAAAACATCTCAACTGCTGGAGATCAAAATGAGACATTAAAACGCCTCAAAGACACATTTCTGAAGAAACATAGTGGAGTTCCTCATCTGCACGTCGCTGGTTTCTTCACTCTGTCTTACACCAACGCAGCAGCGGGTCATTGTGAGGTGGATGCAAAAATAATACCAAGTTTTCACATTCCTTTACAAATAGACATCTGAAAAGTGTGGTGTGCATTTATATATAGTCCTGAATAAAAACCAGTCAACATAATGGACTAAACAGAGCCAACATGACAACGTCAGCAAACAAAAAACATCATGAAGACAGGAAGAAACATTTAGATGTAAACACCAGCTGGACAGGAATCAGAAAACAATGAAAGGAGGAGGATTTTTTATTTTTTTTACCAATCAGACAAAAGCAAAACATTGGACACACTGCAGCAGGAAACTTTCACACCAAAACAAATTTAAACATAAGGATAAATTTAGTTACCTAGTGTTATAAATGCTTCTGTAAAAAGATTTAAAAGTGTGTTAAAGTGAACTGGGCTGAACTGAATGAACTCCAGCTGGTTGAGTTTTATTCTGTAAACTGTCTTTAGATGACATTTGTTACCAACTGGTAACTGAACTGAATTCAGTTTAAAATAAACTTAACAAACTGAATTAAATGGAACTGAGAATAACTGACTCAAAGTTTATTGAATTGAACTGAATTGAGTTAAACTGAAGTGACTGAACTGAACTCAACTGAACTGAAATGAATTGAAATGAACTGAACTAACTTGTACGTAACTGTTTCAAATTATATTAAATTAAACTGAACTAAATTAAACTGAATTGAACTGTACATTGAATTTAACTGAATTGAGCTAAAATTAACTAAATGCAATTGAATCTAACTGATTCAAAGTGTATTGAATTAAACAGAACTAGACCCAATTGAACTGAACCGAACTACACAGAGTCGAAGTGAATTGAATTAAATTGAACTGAGCTCAACTGAATTAAGTGAATTGAATTCTATTTAACGGACCTGAATTGAAGTGACTCAGTTGAACAAAAACTAATCTGAACTAAGAACTGACCGAAGATGTTAGCATGTTAGCATGCTACCGAGCATCAGGACTTTACTTCTCATGAATGCATATTCCTTCTCATGTGTGAGGAAATGAATATCAGCTTTCTATTTCTGTATGGAGCTATGTTTGTAGCATTAGCATTTCCAACAGAAGCATAATAAGTTAAACATACTCTGAATTAGAGGTGGACTTAAAGTTTTATCATGATAAAACGATTTATTGCATCTTTTTATGTAACTGTATGACTATAACTGGGTGTCACAGTGATTATATCCCCACAGACACAAAACTGCTCATGTTAATAACAATACAGCATCCTCTTCATGACCCTGTCCAGAGTGTCTTCAGTCAGAGGCTTCTTCAATTTCACTGTAACTCAGACTGCTACTGGAGATCTTTCCTGCCAACAGCCATCATTATGTATAATAACTAACATTTCATTTCCTTTTGGGATCAATAAAGTAGAAGTGTGATTTGTATCACTAAACTGCAAATTAATTTGTATATTTCAAATTTATTGATATTTATTGAAGCTTTTATTGAACAGAAAGTGGAGAAAGCAGTAAAATTGAAAATTACCATGGAAACAATAAATCAAAATTATTGTGATATGTAATTTATCACAATAAATGATAGAAGATGCAAGATGCCCACTGTTACTCTGAATTGACATAATTATTATATTACGTTGATTATCTGCAATTTTCTAATGATATTCATGTATTTACAAAGAAGTGAAGTCTGGCCTGCTGAAACTTTGCTCTTCTATTTTAGGAAAGGCAAACAAATCCTAAGAGCCTTCCCTTTCACATTTCCTATTGGTTATCCAGATACTATCTCCCAGATCGAAATGCATGCGCGCATGCAGGAACTCAAACATAAATACACACTTCCTGTCTGTCACAGGCCGAGATCAATCACAGCGTGGGAGTGCAATCTGAGGTTGAGGCCGAACACGGGGGGAACGTGGCGCAGTGCAATCACGACCAGCGCCTGAATTAGAGCGGCGGCCGTGGGCTCCATGGGAGGGTTTGGTCAAATTACAGGCCGTATTTTTAGAGAGGCTTCGCCCCAGAAGCAGCTGAGGACCATCACTCACAGGCCGCTCTGGCGTATCTGGGGAGCTTCCTTCTTCAAAACTCAAAGTCACACCTCAGGACAGACCAGTATTGATTCAGTGCATCTCCTAGTAGGAAGCTGTTTAAGACAACCATGCTGTCTATCTTATAAGCTGCACAGGAAACAATGGAATCAGATGTCAACAAGACAAAGCTTCACCGGGGTCAGAGAGTCTGTCAGTCCTCGATCATAAAGCAGTTGCTGACTTGGTTACAGTCCAAAATCTTTTCCAGGACTATAGCAGCAACAAGATCCCTGTGGTTTTTGGGACCAAGGCAGAGAAACAAGTTGACAGCAGCCTGCAGTGTGTTTCCTGTTTCTGATGCTGCCTCCAAGTGGCAGCAACACACTATTGCTTTTTTGTTTTCTGCTGAAGCAGGTTTGCTAATCCAAAAATACAAATTTTTCACATCTTTGTGCTTCCATTTGGGTCTCAGATGCTTAAAAAAACAACCAAAGTGCTTAAAAACCACACATAGACATTTTTTGGCAACAAGTTTTTTGGTGTCTGGAAAATGAGCCTTTCAAAAAAACCTGCTCATAACATTTGAGACATTACACCGTTACCTAGCAACCCCAGCCCAGCCCTGTTACCTAGCAACCAAAGCAGAGCGCCGTCACATTTGGTCACCTGGTTTTTCCTCTCAGTATGAGGAATTAAAATGGGGCCATGAAGTTTGAGAAAATTTATTACTAAAAAAATAGATTTGAAACTAAATAAAAGAAAAAAAATTAATTAATTAATCTGAAAAGTGGTTTTGATTTTTTTCTCCTGTCTTCAGGTGGATGGATTTTTGGTCTTACTTTTCATAATGTGTAACCATGGAAACAAGGTATTGTTTTTTTTATATATATTTGACCAGAAAATTAGCATCCCAAAAGCTCAGCAGACCCTGGAACTATGACTACAAATCGAAGAGGAGTTGAAAACGAGGCTTCATGGATGCAGAACAGAGAGAGGAGGATGATGCTGGAAGCATCTCAGATCCCCTACTCCAACATCTCATTTAAAGAAGAGCGGTTAAAGCAAATAAGCTGGATTTGCAGTGTTTGCCAACAACTAAAAGTGTCATCCTGAACATTTTACTGTGTAATATTGTCTCTGTTTCCCAGATTTTGAGCTGTTAGCATGTCATGCTACATTCTTCAGTCAGAGGCCTCTACATATTTGTTGCAAGACTGGCTGCTACTGCACATCCTTCCATCACAAACAACAAAAACAGTTTGAAGACATTTGTATGACATGAATTTCAACATTTAGTTGAAATAATCATTTTATAGATTACCCAATTCACATTTCTAAAAGATTTTTTACTTTTTTAACCTCTAACTCTAAATGTATCTTGGTTTACAGGCAGAGTTGTTTAAAAATGCAGCTGTCATAACCCTCACGTTCTGGTCAACACCTGCTGGAGACAGTCTCCAGTATTTCCTCTGCTGATCTATCTTTAGTGTGTCCAATAACTCATGTTGCTTCTTGTGTCTAAGCCTATTGTATGTCTTCTGCATGCATTGAGAAAGGAACTTGCATCAAACACATGAGGCCGACACCCTTCCTCCCAACGCGAGTATTCAGGCTAGAGGTCAGAACAAGCTTCAGGCCCAACATCCTGTTTATTTTATTTTCACGGTTCGTTGGGTGAGGAAGCATGCTTTATTATGTCAGGTGAAACAGGATGAAACAACTTTATGTTTTATTTTGTGGATAAAATAAAGAAGCATCTAGAAATGCCTGTTTGGGCAGATAAACACCTCACTCAAGCTGAGGTTTGAACCAGATGAAACTACAGCAGGAAGTGCAGGTTTTTACATTTATTTTGTAACAAAAAACGGTTAGAAATTTATTTTGTTTGCTTAAAAGTTTAAGTTAGTCTAAAATTGTGGCAGGCAGGCTTAGATGAAGGGCTAACCGAGGACCTCTAGTGGTATAAAGCAGGAACTAAAAACCACCCCAAAGAAATCATGCAAAAGAAAAATCTAACAAGCAGAAAAATATTAAATCACACAAATTAAATAAAGCTAAAAATAATATCTCGCAGCAGTTTATATTTTGCTCTTTAGATAAAAACAGCTTGTGTGACTTTCAGACTTTCTTCCCCACTTCAGAG